GGGGGGGGGGGGGGGGGGGGGGGGGGGGGGGGGGGGGGGGGGGGGGGGGGGGGGGGGCGTACTCGTACGTTTTGTATGCCTGAGCGGTTAGACCATTGACCACGCGTCCTCGAGAGGACGGCAGCATTGTTCCCACAGGACTGATCACCGATGGCCAACCGTTCCTTCCTACTGTGTTGGGGGTAGAGGGGGGAGGGGGGGGCAACTCCCTCTTCCATTGACCTGCGTGACAAGACCCACCTGCGTGAACTCCAGCGTTCTCACGCGGAACCGCACTTCGTCGTGCAGGGTCAGCGAGAACGAATCGTCGTTCTCAGCCCCGCTGCCTTCCCCCCCCTTACTGCCGCCCCCTTCTCCGTCCCCTTCCCCGTCCTCCGCGTCCGGGTCGGGATACGACCACACCCACTCCCCCCGGGTGCTGTTCGAANGGGGGGGGGGGGGGGGGGGGGGGGGGGGGGGGGGGGGGGGGGGGGGGGGGGGGCGATCTCTGGAGGTATGGATGCTGGTTTTGAAAGAACAATCATTGAGACAGCTGAAACGCCATAGACGTTTCAACGGGATGGTGCAGCATCGGTCGGCAGCGGCAGCGTAGGCCGAGACACAGCGGCACTACTCAACACTCGGGTACCCTCTTGGTTGGCACAACATTCGCAACGACAACTTGCGACGAGGGTGAGGTCGCTCTCCTCGGCAAAACGGGTGAGAGCCACGGGGCGCGGAGGATCATTTCACATAGACCTCACCCGGGACATGGACGCCTCCAGCGTGCAACGGCCGCGACAATACCGCTGGTGCACATGCTTGCGGCACAACTTCGTCGCAAGCAGCGCCTTTCTACTAGAAGAAAAAGTCCATCGTTCGCCCCCACGTCCCTGCCGTAGGCACGTGCAACAACTCGTGATAGATTAACGTCTAAACCGCAGTTCCTACCATAAGCCACTTCATCGTGCGGTTCCCTCTACTGTTAGCGAAAACACCAACCAGTCCTGGATGTGCGTTTGTGCGGAGGTACATAATGCAGCCAATACCAAGCGAAACTTACAATACAGACGGGGATTGAAGGAGATCCTTTGGTATGGAAGCATTCTCGAAGAAATCGAGTGACACCTGAGAGACATGCAACGGTTACATCGATAGCGCAAGGACGGAGAAGGGGTGGGGGGGGGATGTTCTCATAGTCGTGCATGCCGTCGTTAGACCATTGACCTCGCATCCCTACAAAGCCGGGACGGAGCACGCCGGGTTCTCACCGGACCAGGCTCTCACATCACCAAGCGCGAAGCGCCGTGAGATATTCGGCGAGTCGCATGAAGGGTGCGCTGCATTCTGCTAGTAAGGGTGTTCAGCAACTTGTGCTTACTTCCTTGCGTACGGATGACACCTGCGTATGACTT